TGTGCTTCTCTGTTACTCTCTACAGTGCAATACGTTATAGGAAATTGGATAATGATTAGACATGGCTTGCTTGTGTTGCAGTGCAATATATTACAAGCCCTTGATCAATGATTAGACATGGCACACTTGTGATGTGGCTGTAAAGTCGGTTTTATCTGGCCTTGAGCGAATCCTGCCATAGGAAAGTTATGCCTCTATTACATAGATTTATGACATGCTAGAAAATGTTCATATTCCTTCAACACCTTGTCCTACTGGAATGTTCTTTTTTTTACAATTTTACTTTTTTCTGATCTCAAATGCATTTCTCACATAATATGGACAATGGAAATGGGATATTTTCCAAATGTCAATGCCACACTTACACCAGTTTTTGTCAAATTTGTAATTAAAAGAGAAAAACATAATGTCACTCTATAGATACCAATGACAGATCCCAGGAACGCCTAAAATGATAATACTCTAATCACCCATCATGATGATTTAACCCCTTAACGCCGTTACGACGTTCTATGCCGTCGCGGCTTTAAAGCCGTTGCGGCGGCATAGAACGTCGTAACGGCTTAAACCCCCAGGACCTTGGCGGTACTTACCTCCGCCACGATCCTCTTCTGGAGGGCTGCCTGACAGCCCAGGCAGCCCTCCTCTGGCAAGTAAGGCCCCCTATAGCTGGCTGTGGATCTGCCAGCAGGGGGACTGTTGAAATATCAATAAAAAAATTAAAAAATTAGACATGTGTAAAAATAAATTAAAAGTATATATATATATATATATATATATATATATATATATAATATATTTACATATATTATATATATATAATATACATATTATATATATGTAACGTCATACAAAGTGTATTTTAATACTAATATTAGTATATATATTAATATTAAAATACACTTAGAATGACGTTACATATATATAATATGTATATATATATTATATATATAGTAGATATATACACATATATTATATATATATATATATATATATATACGTATAATTACAATAATAAATAAATAAAATAATAAAATAAATAAAATATTGAAACAAAATTTAATATAAATTATATATTCATATGTAATTTCATTCTAACTGTATTTTGTTATTAATATATATATATATATATATATATATATATATATATATATATTGGTAACAAAATAGACTTAGAATAACATTCTATATATATATCTATATATAAAATACAAATAACCGCAAATATATATATATATATCTATATATATATAGATATATATATATATAGATAAATACATATAATTACATAAAAGATTACATTAGTATACACGTAGAATTTAAATACCTATAAAAGCATATATATTAAAATGCTACTAATATTTAAGTAATCTTTTAACATAATTATGTGATTTGATTAATTAAAATTTGATTGACATGCCTGACAACACAGGGAGAAAGTGCAGAGAAT